TGGTAAATGGGTCAAGTTGTGGTTGGTTACAATATGGCGCTGGATGGTAGCCAATGGACGGACCGAGGATTCGGAATTGATTATTGCTCTGGGAATATTTGCATAGCACTTTGGTGCGTCATGCGGTCGACGTGTTTTCTAGCCTGTGTCAGGCAATTATCAGCAGAAAGAAAATCAATTACCAGACTGCACTCAACGTGGAGAGCTAAACGACTTCCGCCAAAGAACTTGTCGGCGCCTTTATTGCTAGGCCACAGAGAAAGAAAGAAAGAGAGGGGCAGAGCGAGAGAGAGAGAGGGGGTTAATTGTAAACGCTGTTTGAAAGACGAGCGACCCTTTGCCTAAAACGGAAATCATGTTGTGAACGCGACCAGCAAAAACAACAACAACAAATAACTCATAAATATCCATCCAGACGGCGCGGACTTGGGCTGGGGCAAGACAAAAATATAATGACAAATCAGAAAAGCAACACAAGAGGAGGCAGCTGGACAGCAATCAGAAGAAGCTGATGAAGAGGCTGTTCCCTTGCATTCCCTTGGCGGCGCTGCTGAGTCAGAAAATAATGGAAAACAATTTGGTCTCGGACAGCGGGAAATGGCAAAAGGAAAGCGTCGAGCCACGATGCCAGCGAGACGCAGTCGCATATAAAAGAAAAGCTACGAGCAATAACAATTGAATTTTCAAACGCCGCTTATTGTTTTTCCGGCATAGCAGAAGAAATTGGCTGCGCCTTGTTAAAATGCAATCAAATTGAAGCCGAAGCCCGCTGAAGTCCGCTGTAGACGGACCACAAATATTTTTTGTGGCCTGCCTCAAATGCGGGCCAAGAGCTAACTGGCAGTTGGAGTAGCCAGCCGAAGCGAGTTTAATTTTGAATCCATTGGAGGCCACAACAATTCCCAAAAAACAGCAGCCACAAAACAACAAAAGCAGCAAACAACAAAGCGACTTGCACAGAAATCAACTAAGAATGCAGCTGCTAAAATTGGGTCTGTGCGACGAAGAGATACTCTTTTGAATAGCTTTCAAGAACAAAAGATAGTATCTCTCTTGTTTCACCTATGTTCCATCCTTATGAGTGGAATTTTCGAAATCTCGCATTTGTAAAAGCGGATCGATATAATATAATATATAATATATATAATTTAATCGAAAAGGAGGCGAATCTTATCAAAAGTGCTTGCTTTAGGATGGGAAAACGCGTGGAAAACTGTTGTGAGACACTTTTGCATTTTTCAATCGATCGATTAATACCTTTTTTTTACTCTCACTTTCTCTCGCTCAGCCTCCCCTCTGATTCAACTTACGGTTTATTCTGTGACTGTGACTATAATTGAGCCTTTAACAAAGTACAGGGTATACGGGCTCACACATGTACAAAACACGATCTCTTCGTCGGCACTCGAGTGCAACGTGGCATGGAGCTGGCATTGGGCACGGCTGTGTGAGGCTTGGCTGCCTCTTGGCTACTGGTTTTGCCGACAAGCCACAAAAAAACTTTACTCGCCAAACAGTAGCCCCGTTGTCAGAGCCCCAAATCCCCATGCCCGCTCCAGTTCCCATTCCCGCGCCCGTTCCCATCGTGATCCACTGCCTGTACACATGTGTGTGTACAGCTTGTCGCATGTGTGCCCCGGGTCTGGCTCCAAAGTTTTGTACGTAAATCTCGGGGCTTTTTAAATACGTGCTACGTGCAGCGAGTGCGACTGGAGAACATGGGGAACGTGCTGCGTGTTGAGTATTTGTTAAAAAAAAAAATAAAAGGCAGAGAGAAAAACAAAATAAAATAAAAATTTTTGCCAAGAAGTTGCCGACGCGTCGTCGGTTGACTTTGTCATATGAAAAGTAAACAAACGGCAGGCAAAAGGCTACAAAATCAGCCCAGCAGTCAAGAGAGAGAAAGGGAGAGAGAGAGAGCGAAAAAGAGAGAGGGAGAGAGAAACAATTTGATGTGATATGCAGGGGCGTAGTTTGAGTTAGGTAAAGTTGGAATTGAGGCAAAATCTCTTGCTGTGTCTGAACAGAAAACATTAAGTATACGCCCCTTGAATCCACGTGAAGTTAGAGGGGCAGCAAATGTGCGTTATGTGTAACCCATTGCAACAAATAAATAATAACTATATGTTAAAATGTAAAACTAATTCCTCAGTGTAGTCTCTAGATAGACGAATTTAATTAAAAATTTAAATTTTCAACTATTTGATTTCTGTGCTTAAATACGATTGAAGTATTTATAAGAATATCGAATATCCTCTTCAACTGCTTAGCACTAAAATTTAAATATAAATGTAGTTTCTCATAGAAAAGTAATAATTCTATAAATTGAGATTTTTTACGAATCAAATTTACTCTGAAAGCGTTCAAGTGTTCGAGTGATTACTGTACATGCTTTTAGGCAAGTTTATGCTTACAATCTGTTACCTTCTATAGAATCTTAAATCCCTTGAATCCCGCTTTTTGCTACCGCCACTGCATTGCTGACTTTGTCATATAGTTTCTCAGACAAACTTCATATTAACTCCTTGTGAGAAGCCAGCACGTAACTTCTCAAGCTTCTACTTGACGCAACCCCAGCTCCTCTAGGCCACATCCATATATATGCCGGGCACAGTCGAAAAACAGTTAATTACAGGCAAGTAGCTTACGGAAAAATGGCGACAATGGAGCCGGAGCAATAAAACTATTTTATGGCCAAAGTTTTTGGCCCGCCGGTGCAGAAGTTTATTTAATAAAAGTTGCTGGCGAGAGTGCTTTAAGAAATCAAATATGTATAGATATAGGGAGGTGTAACAAATGTGGCAAATGCAATCAGCTTATGCAAATCTTGTTGATTTTAAAATAATGAAAGGGGCGTGTCCCCAGCCCCCAGCCATCGCATGAATAATAAACGTGCCAACCGATTGCAGTAAGCAACTGCTCCAACTGCTAATGTAATTGCAATTCGAGCCAAACATAAAAACACGCTCAAGACAAAGCCCAACACAAGCAAATGCGAAAGGATAATGCCAGGAGACTACGCATATTTTCATAAAATATTTAGCCAAATGGTCGCCAGGTTTTGTTTTCGGCTCACAGACATTCGGACGTTGACGCAGTTTGCGCAAAAACATTCGGCTCACTTTTGTAGCATTTGCTTGTGTGCTTGAGGTAATTGCGCAAACAAATCTCCGACTATGGAAGAAGACGCAAATTGGGGAAACTGCGAACACTCAAGTGTTGCTTGCAAAGTATTAACACAAATAACAACAATAAATCGAAAATTTATATGAATTAGAAATTGAATAAAAGTAAATTCATTTCTTGAGAAAATAACACACAAAGTAATTCTTAGCTTTGGAGCATGTTAAGTTAGAACTTTTTCGAATGGCTGCCAAATGTGTTAGACAGCTGAACATACTCTATTTGCAAGCAGGTCTAACTTACTATAATTTGTATTATATTACTTTTATAAGTCTAGGATATAGTAACAAAATTAACCTATTCAACCTAACTATTTTTAATCCCTCTTTTAAAGCAAAATTCATAGGATCAAGTAGCTAAAGTCTTCCTAATTGACATGTATCTTCTAGAATAGTATATGCAAATTAAGTATCTTTCATTTTAAAGCTTTCGCCAATGCTGTTATCTTTTTGAGAATAATTTTTATTTGTTAAGTGTTGGTAGGAGGCGACACAGGGTATTCCCTAGTCGATCACTATCGACTAGAGCATTCTTCATTTCATTTTATTAATGAGTTATTAATAGAATGTGTTTACAAAGAATTAAAATGTAATGCAAACACTTGTTTATATCAAACACACGCTTCCAAAACAAAGCATTCGCCGAATTGCGAATTGATTGAGCCAGACAGAGAGCGAGAGAGAGGGAGAGATAGCTAGATAGAGAGAGAGAGAGGCAGAGTGTGGGATAGCCAGCATGCACTTGAGCTGCATTTCAGCTGACAGCAAACAACAACAACAACTTAGACAACAACAACAACGACAACAGCGAGGGAAAACAAGAAAACTGAATGAACTGTCTGCGTGGGCAATTCAGTTGTTGTTTGTTGTTGTCGTTTGTTGTTGTTGTTGTTGTTGCCTCTCTCTTTGGCAAATGAATGAGCAATTTATGCGTGTGACGCATTTCTGCTCTCAAAGTCAAAGCCGAAAAGTAAAAACAAAAACAAATTATAAATCTTCAAAGCATTCTTGGCCAAAACAGTTTGGTTGTTTTGGTTTTCTTTTTTATTTTGGCAACAATAGGAAGACAGCTAACTTAAAGAGGAAGCTGCACGCTCGGATAAAGTGTGCGGGCCGGGGTGAAGGACGGGCGGGTGGGCCTTAGCCAAGTAGTTGGCAGATAAAAGCCGCTATAAAAACTGTCAAATAAACATCAAAGCGGATGCGCAACGCTTGACATGCTAAAATATGCTTTATAGTCATGCGTAGCTGTGTGGGTAATCTCTGTGTATGTGTGTCTGTGTGTGTGCGGGAGGGGTGGGGGCATGTTAATGGTCGTCGGGTGACAGTCGTCGGGAGGTGCCTACAGAAGTGGGGCGGCGGGGTCGACAGTAATGTGCCATGTTTATATGTGGGGCGTTGCCAATGCTAAAGTAATAGCACATGCCATAACATAACACAAAACATTGATGGCTGCGAATGATAAAGAGACTGAGTTGGCCCAGTCCCCGCAGCACTCGAGCCAGAGGCGTAGCGCAACAGGGGTGGGGGCAGCCACACAGTGTGGGCAGGATGTAAGTTAATTAAAGTCAAGCATTTTACATGCAGACGCTATCAATTTCGAAAAAATATAAAATTAAATCAAAAATATATAAAAATCATCAAGTAGCAATTAATATATGGAAATAGAAAGGGCAGAAAGGAATATGCCCCATAAAAGCCTATTGAAATAATATCTAATTATAAGTACATATATATATATAGCGCCTGGGCTAATAAAATGTATATAATGTATTCTTAAGGTGCCTAGCTTAATGCTTTTACACATGCACATATTTTTGCTGCTCTGCTGCTACGAAATGCTTGTCACATCGTGTCAAAATGAATTTCAATTTCACACTTCCACTTGACAAAACAAAACCCACCGACGCCCCATCAATCCCTCTGGCAACGCGCCGCTGGCCGCGACATTTGCTCTAGGGTCTGACGGGAGGGCGTGATGGCGCGCCCACGCGGCTGTGCGTCTCCCAGTTGCCGCCCAGCAGCCAACTCCTCCGCCTCCTCGAGGAGCTCCTACTCCTCCCGCACTTGGCAGCTCCTTTGGCACATTAGAAAACGTGACAAAAATTTCATATTGATGTCTTATTTTTTTTTTTTTTTTGTTTTTATTCCTTTTTTTGTGCTTTTTTGATGATGCTGCTAAAGGCAATACATAAAATTTTCACACACAGCTACAAAAAGAAAAAAAATGAAGAGAAAGAGAAAAAATGTGTGAATTAGGCGCAAAAGTTGAAAGCAGCGAATAATTCTGTTGTAGATACTCGTATATTTTATTATAGCGTACCGAATGCTTTTGAAGTGTCGGCAAGAATGCGTGGGCAGGGCACCTACACACACAAACACACACACGCACACACACAGACAGGCATATAAGAGGGTCTGTGGGTGGGTATTCACATAAAGTATATGTATATGGATCGCAAAAACAATTTTGGAGTGCATATGTCACAGCGACAGCTCCCGACGTCTGCGGAATGCAGCAAACGACACGCTTCAAGCTCATAATTTGTAGGGTCTTCTTTTTTTTTTATGGCGAGACTGGGCAGATATTTCTTACTCTCCGAGTGCCTCACCTTCTAGCTTGTGTGCGATGCGAGCGCATTGTGCGTTACATTTTTTACACTTCCTTTCTGAACTGAATTATTCATACAAATTTGTATCTTTTATCGCTGGGCGGCAGCTATGCCATTGCAGGTGGCCATAAAGAGCTGCGGAAAGATGCGAGCATATTTGTAATAATAGCAGAGCATAAAATTCGAGATATTTTGTCGCGCGCTGCTGGCTCAAATTTCAGTTGCGGCTTTGGCTTAACTCTCTGCGTCTCCCTCACTCTATCTCACTCTCCCTCTCTCTCTCTCGCTGTTTAGGCAGCCACTTTTTACATGGCCATAAAAGGGCCAACAGACAACAACAATAAAAACAGCACAATAATTTACGTAAATGCCTAGGCATATACGTTTAACTATATGAATATATATGTATGCATACTTGTATGTATATGAAAATTTATGATATGTACTCGTATATGGATCTATTTCGAGGTTCATGCGACAGGTTGTCATTGTAGGCGCCCATATGAAGACTGGTGCCGTTAAAGAAAGTGCTGATTAACATTTAGAAAATATGAAAAGCCACATTTGAAACGTGCCATTAATTAATTTAGGTTAGTTCGGTAAGACTTTGAAAAGAAATGCATGGACAATCGCATATATATATCCATGTTTTAGTCCAAGTCTGAGAGCAAACGGTTCAGTAAATATATGAACTTCTTAAAAGAGAGCTGTTAATAAAGTTTGAAAAAGTGAAGAAGAATATATACATATATATAAATCTAAATTCCATAAAAATAAAAACAATATATGCTTACATAATTTAGATTCGGTTTCGGCCAACAAAGATATTTCAAGTATTTAATATTAATTACCGGAAGTCTGTCTGTAATGGATTAATTTGTACGAAATGTGCTTCCGTCTCTTTGTTTAAGCTACCCTCGCAAGCATCTTTCCGCAGACTTAGACAAACAATATGCTTACATTCATTTCTACATATCTTATCAAGTCTCTTGGCTGTCTCTGTCGCCGTTGTCTGTCTAAGTTGTTGTTGCTGGAAATTGTTACTGATATAAAGTACATGCATATTTACACAATTCGTCGCAGCTTCTACGCTTTAGCAATCAAATTACAAAAGCAGCAACAACAGCGCAAAAACTGGAACATTGTTTGATTGACATTTGATTGACAAAATGCCTGACGAACTGATAAAATGCCAAGCGCAAACGGCCAAATGGCGCCAAGCAAAATTAAAAAACAGCAAATAACAACAAAAATTTGCCTACGATAGAAAATTAACGCCTTTAATTTAATGACTGACAGCAGCAGCAACTGCCCCCAACAACAACATCTGCCCATTGGCTTTAATACGGCGCGCCGAAAGCCAACCACAACAACAATTATAACAACAACAACAACAACAACAACAATTACAACAACCTTCACTCATTATGCCGCTCATTCATTTTTATTGTTGTTGTTGCTCTTGTGGCAAGTTTAAGCGCGCTGTTTGTAATTAATTTCCGTTTGTGTGTAGCCGCAACAAACTTTGGCGCAAAACTTAAATAAACCGCAGCAGGAGAGGCCCCAAAAGCCGCCTTCCAACCAGCCCAGCCCAGCCAGCACAAGCACACACAATACTCAAATACACACACTCGCATACAAAATGCAATGATACAGCAAGAATAAAAGAAAATCTCATCGATATATTGAAACGTGCATACACTTACAAAAAGAATGTGAAAGTCGCTTCCTTTAAATTTGCATACGATTCTTAAATATGTAGGATGGCCGAAAAACTCACCAAGAAATGTTATTAGATGCTAATTAGAGACTAATTTGTAAACGTAAAAAAATTAAATAAACTAACTCACAAAGTTTCTATGATATTAAAATCAAGGAATAATATTCAATACAGAAGTTGAATTTTTTATGTTCTCGAACAATTCAACAAATATGTAAAAAGGAAAAAACAAGAATACAAATCAAATTAGATAAATGCAGTAAAAAGTGGGTAAAGTTGAGAAAAAATACATAAATGAAATTTATAGAGTTCCTGAAAAGATTGGCGAGAGTTACAGGACTTAAAGAATTGTATTGTTTTAATTGAAAGAAATAAAAATTAATAAATATCCTGTGAAAATATTCGCCAACAAGTTTCAGAAAATCCAATATTTGAGCAGAACCTAGTTCTTACCAGTGAAAAGGCATTCAAAATTTTAAGCTTATTTACATACTATGAGTATAATTGACCTATCCTGCTTTTAAATATTAAACAATTTGCCAAGCAATTATCTTGGCTAATTGGTATAAAACTGGTTAAGAGGAAAGTTACAATGCAATTTCTTTCAGAAGCTCGTAATTAGTTCAAGTGAGTTTTGGCTAATTGCAAGTCCAATGTTAAAATTTAGCGACCTTTGTAAGTTGTGTTGTAAAACAACAGATACACACACACATGCACACATTTGTATATATGTATGTGCATATGTATCTATAGGTAGTTTGTACAGTTTATATGGCCAGCAAACCCGTTTCGGAACACGTTGTGCGGCAAGATGAAGGCCTCCATAAGCGACACGCGCTGAGCCCAAACAGAGCTCAGCTCTTGGCTTGTAGAAGAGTGCCGAGAGAGGGGGGAGAGGGGGAGGAAGAGTGGAGGAGATTGTTGGCTAGGGATTGTATACTATATCATATAAAAGGCACGCTCGATCTGGCCGGCGACGACGACGACGACGTTGTTGATGTCGGCATTTGTTTCACTTGATTTGTAACATTAACATTAAAGCAAAGTTTTCAAAATGCCGACAGACGACGTCGGCGACGACGACGCGGCGTCGCTTTCAATCTTGGCTAAAATGCAACCGACCCCCAACCACAACAGCAACAACAACAACTGCAAATCGCTCACATATTTAATGGTACCCTTGGGGGAACGCCAACATCGGCGCACGGATGACGTCGCCGTGAACTTCATGCGCTGATAAGAACTGAGACGCCAGCGATGAGGAGGCGACTGCGACAGCGACAGCGACTGCGATGTCGACTTCATCGTGTAACTGTTTTCCCATCGATTATCGGCGTTTAATTAAACCTGCCCCATTCCACGGCGCAGCGATAGTTGCTACTGGTATTTAGCAAGCGTTTCCGATAGCGCAGCGTAACAAAAACAACAGACAGAGAGGGAGACAGGGGGAGGGGGGGGGGGCATAAAAATATGGTAACAAAAAATTGAGGCAGATTTCTTTGGCTGATAGTGAACTATTTTTTGTGCGCCTTTTGATTTTTGCCGGCCTTTGCGCCGTCACCAGCCACGATAAGTGCCTTGCCAAATTGTGGTTGTAAATTATCAAGAGCCCCAAAGAAAAAAACAAAACACCAAAAAAACGACCAAAACGAAAACGAAAAAATAATAATAAAGGCAACACTTGATTCGAGTTTATTGTGTGCCGGCTAAAGCAACAAAAAAAGCCTAAAAGGGGCTAAAAGCGCTATCAAAGTCTATAGGTTGTTAGCCATTAAGTGATCGGACAGTGATCGGCCAGTGATCAGCAAAAGAACAGGCCGCAATCACAATAGAATGCAATTAAAACATTGCATTAGTCATTCAACGGCAATTGACTGATCTGTGCAGCAAGTCATATTTATTTTATTGATCTACTTTTACTTAAAGCATTCGTTTTTAAAAAGCTATCTTTTGCTCACAATTAGCGAGCTGCAGTGTTGGGTAACGCCCAGTAAAAACTTCATCAAGCTAGATAGATCAAGATTTACCAAAGCTTTCGCCAATAAGTCATACTTATGTTATTAGCTCGAACACACTTAAAGCTTTTGTATGCTATACAACTTGCTGTGAGTTGCAGTATTGGTTAACAAACAAAAAAAACTTCAATAAAAGTTCGACAAAGAGCAAAAGAAAATAATAAATAGTAAACAAAGCTTTGGGCAATAATTCATACTTATTTAACTAACAACAAACTCACTTAAAACTTATGCATGCTTTACAGTTGAATAGTAAGTTACTGTTACAAATGGTGGCCAGTTCCAGTGTTGGGTAACAAACATACTAAACTTCACTAAACTTCTAAATAGTTGTCAATACATCATACTTATTTCATTCTCTCAAACTCACTTAAAGGCGTTTCAGTGTTGGGTAACTAACATAAAAGGTTGTTAGTAGTTTAATTTTCAAAATAAATCAATTATTGTTAATAAACTTAGTGTGCAGCTTTCAACACTAATTAAAATGTATTTCATACTTGCTTTGCTTGAAGTGTTTGAAGTGTTGGCTAACAAATGTGCGTTAAATAGTGTTAAAAAATTAAAACGTAAACAGTGTTGCGTTGGCAAGGTTGATTAATGTTTTTTGTTGGCTATTTTTTTTCGTGACTTCTTGAACCATTCAATATTTACATCACTTTTATCGGCATTTGAGAGTTTTACATGGTACTTAAACTATAGTATCATATTTCCCAGGCATTTATGTTTAGCGTTTGATTAGTTTATGCCGTTTTTAATATACATTTTAATTAACTCGATTTAGTAGCCATATAAATAAGTCTTAAATATTTATAAACGAGAGGATTGCAACGCTTGAATGTAATGCCACCTGTTCTCCATACGACTTCATATTGGATTTCATGTTAGTTTTTTGTTTTATTACAGCGATTTATAATATTTAAGTTTGAGCATTTAACAAATTATGCGCATTTTTGATTTGCACTATAAAAGCCAAAGGCAAACGCCCAAAACCCACTCACACATGCCAATTAATTATGCAAATCCTCTGACCACATTGAAAACTAATCTACAGCATCTGGATTGTTTTTTTTTTTCTCTTTTCTTTTTTTTCTTTGTTTTTCACTCTCGATAAGAAAATATGTTAATGAGAATTTATGAGCACACAGTGCCTAAACGTACCCAAAAATGCTTTGCAGTTTCACTTCTCTCCCCCTCCCCGCCTCTCTTTCTCTGTGTGGTGTGCCTTTAATTGAGTCGAGCGCTGAGGCACATTACTCATACGCCACGTACGCCGCAAACAACTTTTTGATAGATAAGCCTCGAGCCGTGACGTTCATTTATCATACGAAATTCATGAGGCTGCTGCGTCAAATTTCAACATAGACCTCGCTGACCTCTCAGGTACGCCTGTCCAAAACTTCACATAGATATATATACCCCACGGTCTATTAGGCAATGTGCGTGTTGTGGTCATCTAATGGACTCGATTCGAGCGTCCAGAGTGCTCCCAGGTCCGTTTCGGCTGTTCATTTTCATTTGCTGGCTTTTCAGCATTTGCTTAATGTATAAATTCAATTCAATGATAGATATATCAGATATGCATGGGCTTTATGGTTCACTTTGTTTTACATTAGGAAAATGTAAAAGAAACCCATGCTAAGGCTCTTCTTTGATACGTAAACCAAGAGCTCGTAAGTCTTGAAAGAATATGTGAATACCAACTTCAGAAAACCTCATTTGCTGGCAGATGAAGGTCCAAGTTAATTGTCTTCTTAAGTCGATACTTGAAAAATTGTATTTGTAGTTTATATAGAGTATTTGAAATTTCTCATGCCGCCTGTTGCCGTTCCAATTGATTTTGCGCCTGTAAGTACATACGATATGTATCTTTCAGAGTGGCTTAGGCCAAAGTTAATTTGCAAGGCGGCATGTTTCATATCAGACGCCGAAATGCTTTCAAGATGACTCAACAACAACATGTTTCTTGTGCTAGTTGTTGTTGTTGTTGTTGTTGTTGTTGTTGTTGTTGTTAGACGTTGGTCGAACCACTTGAGAGAAAAACATGTTCTTTTTGGTTTATCTTGGCGCCACGATCGTCGGCACCGGGCGCGGTATTTGCTCAAAAAACACAAAAGGCGATAATTAAACGCAAAACAAAGCTGGCCGAGAACAGACACTGAGAGACCCAAAGGCAGAAACGGAGGCCGAACGCGAAGACGAAGGCGAAGACTCGCACGGCAAGCACATCAAGTGGTCGGCCTTTAATTAGAAAAGGTGTAGAGCCCAACAAAAGCACACACACACACACACATCGAGACACACACTCACACACAGCTCGAGCCAAAGTTGCCTTTTTTGGGCGCGCAAAGTGCATAAAAAATGACGACAGCTAATGAATGTCGGACGGAATCTGAATCCGACTCCGATGTTGGCTTGGCGACTCCGTGAAGCCGCGGCTCTGCTGCCAGCTGCTCGCCAGCAATTTATTAGACAGATGATGTGCCAACAAGGCAAAGTTTTCAAAAAACGAAAAAAAAAATAATAATAATAAAAACGAAAAAAGATATAAACTAAAGATAAACTTCATAATTGTGTCTGTGTGGCCAAGAAAAACAAAAGTTGTTCTTGTTGTTGCAGTTGCTGTGGCTGTGGCTCTAGCCGTATCTCGCATGTAAGTGTTAATGAAGTTAAGTGTTTCTGACGCGAACGACTAACAGCAACAAAAAACAACAAAAACAACAATTAATGAGAAGTCGCATACCAGACAAAAATAAAACAACAACAACAACAACAACTACGACGAGGGCGAAACGCACAAAAATGTTCGGGCCACATGATTAAGATCAACAATAGCACAAAAAAATAATACGAAAAAAAAACTGAAATAAAACCACAGAGCAGAGCACAGCGCATAGGCCAAAGACCAGCGAGTATCTTGCGGATAGCTCAAGGCAAACTAACTACAAGTTGCTGTCGGCTGCCAAGTGAAACTTAAGTCCAAGTTAATTGAAAGCTGACAGATTTCCTCGAAAAAGGCAGTATCTGACAGACTGAAAGGGCACTTGATTAAATGTGAATTTTAAATGGCCAACACTTCATGAATAATTGTTATAAACTATCTGAAAGATACTGCAAAAGTAATACAAAATAATGTTATCTCTTGCCTTTGTATTTAGGCAGAGTATTTTATCATTGGTTATTGGGAAAAGGTTTTTGATAATTGTCGTTTAAGGATTAATTTGATATGTAGATCAGATACACGTCCTACATGAGAACTTATTGGTCTATGGATAAAGCTTTGTCTTAACAAAGTAGAAGCTTCTGCTTGAAGTCTTATTTAGTAGCCAGAGTTTGCCAAAGCTCGTAATCGTATCTTGGCTCTTCACATTTACATATTTTCAATTTATTATAAATTGATTTTAATTCATTCACATATATTTTTGTTTTTTAAAGCTAGATTTTTACTTTGCATATTTAGAGTAGATTTTCTTTATTTAATAAACGCGGCCTAAGGATCGTTTCTTGGTTGATAAAAGATTGGAATGCGTGTTTCTATTAAAGAACGTCTTGTAGCTTAGCTAAGAACCAAAGTGCATTTCATATTTAGAGCCAGATAGCCCAGAATTCCATATTTTACACATAAATAAAATCAGGTCAGCAGGTGATTCGGCAAACAATGCAATCCACTTTTCGAGTCGAGCTCCCTGCACCAACAATAGTTTGCCGAGCAACAACTCATTTTCTCCGGCACTTTGGCTAATTGTCTTCAATTGTCGTCGACTCTCGGCTGGGAAATAACAAAGCATCTAGCTGGGACTCGTCTGCATAATGCTTATGCAATTAAAAATCGTGTCCTGCCGCAGAGCCCGCACTCCAAAGAGTGTAATGAGAAAATGGGTCAGCTTTGCGGGCGCGCGGCGAGAACTGGCAATTTGTGTTCCATTTAATTAATTAAAAGGGGTAGAAGTGAGGCAGGGCAGAGGTAAAACTAAAGCAGAACCCAAGCGTAGACTGCGAAGAGCAGGATAAGCGCGGCTCAGGTTTTTCTGCTGCGGCTTACGCGGCGTATGAGTAATGAAATGGCCAACACTTTTGACTGGCCCGAGACCCGGCACTTTTGTGGGCCGCGTCTTTCTGGATATTGCTTTAGACCTTTCAATAGAAAACCAAATACTTTTCGGACGACTGGCGACGACGGCGGCGACTTTTACTGAGCTGACGACATCATTAATTAGGAATTCTCTCGGCGCAGTCGCCTTTCAAGTGTTTGTCTGGCTGCTGCGCCTGGTCGCCATCGCTTTGTGTTGGCGTTGAGGCATAAAAGTTTCTTAGTTGTTATTTTTATTTTTTAATGCGTTTTTGTGCAAATTGCAAATAAATTGCTAGCAGCCGCCGCCACAGTGGCAGCCGCAGCCGCAGACAAAGTCAAAGGCAAAATGTGCCGCCAAAAGAAAAATGCCCAACTGCCAAGCAGGCAGGGGCTACAGGACGGGGGCACAGCTTAGATATACAGTCAAGAGAGTGAGTGAGGGGAAAGGGGGGGGGGGGGTTGGGGTTGGACTTTAGATAAGCAACAACAATGTGCAACTGTTGGATGCGACGTCAATTTCATGCCACTTTGCATTTTAATTAAAATGTATCTATATCGGGTTCTCAACGTCTCTCTTCCCTTCTATGCTTCTCGCCCACAGTTCAGGAATGCACCACAGACTCAGAGGAGCTGATGTATCATCAGGTGCGCGCCTCATCCTCGTGCAGTGCGCCGCCAGATTTGTTGCTGGTCAGCGAACGTGACAATAATATACAACTGAGAACGCCTGTGGTTAATATAATCACAACGCCGCCCGGCAATGCATCTGGCGCGGCCGCAGCCAAACAGCAGCCGCACCAGCAACAGCATCTGCCACTCCAGCAGCAGCAGCAGCAGCAGCATCATCATCATCATCATGTGACCCGACATCAGCAGCAGCAGCAGCAGCAGCTGCAGCAGGACATGAGCAGCAGCGGCAGCCACAGCAAACACTTGCGCATCAGCAGCAGCTCCAATGGCAAGCATGGCAAATATGTAAATATGCCACAGCAGCCCGAGGAGGATGTGGTAGATGCGGCAGCGGCCATGCCTACGCCACATGCAACGCATCCGCAATATTCGCGACATTTGCATCACCACAGCAAGGAAGAGCGCATCCGTCTGGAGGTGAGTTCAAAGGTTGCCTGATTGAATCCAATTGTGTTTAAATGTTGAGCTTTTAAATATATGTATGTAAGGCAGGATATATTAGAAATCAAACGCCAATTTAATTCGCTTATACAAAATTATATTTAATATAAAGTGCTAGTCAACCGAAGAGAAAATGTCCGGAGAATATTGAACAGAATTTTGGCTTAAAGACGCAGCTAGCACATACGTGTTTTGTTAACTTGTACTAGAACCAGGCAAAACACTTTAACAAGATATTGAACAAGCTTTTGATATTAATTTGAATATTATTAAAAATGAGTTAATTAGTTTCTTGTAGACATTGAGTTTCTCATAAAATAAATTGATTCATGTTTGTTTACAAAACTCACGTCCAATAAAACAATCAATTTTATGAGATACATATAACTTTGAAGCTAAAATTGGTTCCAATTACAAATGTTAATTATTAAATATAGAGTTTATTTGTCTATAATATATGCGTACATTTTACAGCATTTGCAGCTTGTTGGTTCTGCAATCGAATTTCTGATTTGTTAAACAAATTGCTTAGTTTTTTTTTTTTTGCCAGGCTCTATATTATTTAAATTATGTTTGGTTTTTCATTTTCAATTGACCCCCAACCAGGTGCAAATGCGGTTTGTGTGCTTGAATTGCGCTTCAGTTCTTTTGCTGCTGCTGGTCAAGTTTAATCAACTGGATGTTGTTGTTGTACTCGTTCTTGTTGTTGGTTTGTTTGTTGTTGCTGCTGTTGCCATATTTCATGACCCACTGGGCAGCAGCGCATAAACTCAACTTTTAAATGTGCTTTTAATTAAAATTTCAATGGTTTGCGAAACAAAAACCGACAACAACAACAGCAAAGGCAGCTAAACATTTGCTTTGGGTGAGAATGTTTAATTAACACAATGTAGCCGGCAATTTTCAATTACCACCCACTGTAAGAGACATTCGCCTGTCTGCAGCCCAAAAAAATATCAAAACATTAAAATTCAATAAAACCCATTAAAAGCGCAGAAAATACAACAACAAACCAACAAAAAAGAAAACAAAAACACAGCAAGAAAACTCGCTGCGAAAGCACTTAAAGGCAATTAAAAATCTTCAAGCCAAGTAGCTAGAAATTATATTTATTTCTCGCTCTCGCACGAGCACGACTCCCGCTCTGTTTCAAGTGGATGGGGAGGGGGTCGGGGGCAGCGCGGAAGTGTGGCTGGTTGTCGCTGCCGGCACTTTATCAATGGCCAAAAGTGTGAGGGGGAGGGAGGGCGGCGCTGCTCTGCTCTGTTTCATTTCATTGTTTTTTCTTATTATGTTGCAGTTTCTGGCGCAGCGTGCGAGAAATTAAATATTTAGTCAAATTATGGCCACAATTTTCGAATCTGCTTGCAGACATTATTGTTTTTGTTGCTGTTACTGTTACTTTGTAATTGCTCCGCTTGTGTTTGCGGCTGTGCCTCACACACACACCCACTCGTGCTGAGAGTTCCCCACTGGGTTAGCAAAAAGTGCTGCATACTTTTCGGCGCGCGCTCTAAATTGCTTGTTAGTTGTTCGTGTTTCTACGCGGCGCTGTGTGCTTAAATGCTACAGTAGGTTTTTTATTTCTTTTATTTTCATTTTTGCACTTTAAACAAAGTTAAGTATTCCACTCTATTTGCATTTTTAGCACTCGCTCAGCTTGCAATATTTGTAAATAGCTTCAAAGTTATGTGCAGCTTAAATGGCTCTGAAAAACTTTTAGTTGTGAATTATCTCACATAAGTTCAATTTCGTTGAAGCAGCTGCTTCACAAAAATATTTCAAGAGTTTTTAATCGGGTAGGTTTAGGTAGTTCACATTAAATCAATTTTTAACGTATTATTCGTCTAAAATAATTATAATTATAATATTTAAGCTTTTATTTAGGATTAAAAATTGACATCCTTGTTCATTTAATGTATCTGAAAAATCATTGAAATAACTTCAACTTTAACTGACATCGACTTTTTGTTGTCTATCCAATATTTTGATGCGAATAGGAATTCACCTGCGATGTATCCGTGGAGGGTGGCAAATCGTCGCAGCCGCTGCAATTTTCATTCACATTCTATGATCTGGATGGGCATCATGGCAAAATAACAAAGGACGACATTGTGGGCATTGTGTATACCATATACGAGTCCATTGGCAAGTCCGTGGTGGTGCCCCACTGTGGCAGCAAGACAATTAACGTGCGCCTCACCGTCAGTCCGGAAGGCAAATCGAAATCGCAGGCGGCGGCAGCTGCTGCGGCGGCGGCGGCAGCAGCAACATCCACATGCATCAACAACAACAGCAGCAACAACAACAACAACAGCAGCAGCAGCAAACTGAAGAAGCTGCCCACGGGGCTGGCGGCCATGTCAAAAACAGTGAATGGCGTGGCGCTAACAACATCCGGCGGCGCACGCCGCCAGCATCGGCATCGACCACGCAAACTGATTAAGTCCGATGACGAGGACGATGACAGCAACAGCGACAAGGAGAAGGAGCTGGCAACAGCTGCTGCTGCTGCCGCTTCTGCTGTTGCTGCTACTGCTGTCAATGCCGAACACCAGCCCAGTGGCAGTGGCAGTGGCAAGCAGCCAAAGCCCAGATATCTGAGGAACAATACTAAATTGGAGCAGTGCTGCAGCGGACAGGCACAGCCGGCAGAGCAGCACACGCCGGACAATGGCCACAATACCTGCGAGAATATGCTGAATCTCAAATGCTGCAGCGGTGCCTCCAACAAGGAGGCAGTCGATGTCGTTGACTGTCCACAGCGCTCGCAGCGACACCAACACCACAGCCACGATGTCTACATGAAACAGGCCACACAGCGCGTCAAAATGCTGCGCAAGGCGAGAAAACAAAAGGTAAGCACAAGCTTCACAAATGCAAATCAAATGCCTTAACTACTGAAGCAGACAATGACTGGACTTGCTATTTTACCGATTCACTGACCAAATGATATTTGACAGGTGGAATTAGGAAATATGCTATAAGAACTTAATTTGAAGTATTAGCAAGCGTAAGATAGGAGATAGATAGATAAACAGCATAAACAGGCATAATATGACGTATTCTTTCAAATAAGCATCGCCTTCCTATGCGATTCTCATGACTTCAAGTAACCCTCAGTAACAAAAATGAGGGATTAAGATCAGATAAAAGTTAGAGAGTAACATAGATACAAAAGATAAATTCAGAGCAAATGGAACTAAGAGGTTCAATGGCAAATCAGCTTAGACATAGATGTGGATCCTTGTAAAAACTTGAACGTAGTCGAGGTACAGAATGACAAGCAGAATTTTAAATGACAAAATCAAAAGGTCGTTAGTTAAGCAAAAAAACAGAGTCAGTTGAAATCTCAGAAAATGTCGCTCTTTTTATTTCTTATGCATTATATTGACTATTTATTTGCATAGCATTTCTTAAAAATATAATTTCATTATCTTAATTTTAATTTGTTTGTACTGTTCTTTTCGTTTTTGGTTGACTCGCTCATTACGCACGATTGCATCACTTCGCCCATCCGCGACCCTCCGTGCAGTACCAGGATCACTGCCTCGAAACGCGTCAGCGCAGCCTGTCCGTGGGCAACGACTCCTGCTGGCAGAATCGCCACATGCAACAGCAGCAGCAGCAGCAACAACAACAGCAGCAGCAACAGCAGCAGCTGGCCAGTTCGACTCATGGCCAGGCTCAGAAGAGCGCCTCGTCCTCGCCACCTTTGGGCGATGTGATGCTCGATGGCGTCCAATTGCGCCAGCCACGCCCACAATCGCTGCTGACCCAGCGCAAGTCCGCCGAGTGCTGGAAGTCGGCGCTGAATCGCAACGATTTGATAAGCATCATCAGGGAGAGCATGGAAAAGAATCGCTTGTGTTTTCAGCTAAATGGGTAAGAGCCAAGCAAGAAGAGGGGGGACACGGCTAAAAGCAAGGGAAAGGAAAGCAATTATAGAAATAGATCATAGATGCACTATGGAAACAGACTCTTGATTTAATATAAACTCGAAGGAACTAGACGGAAGTAACAATTAAAGATCTCAGCCAAAACAATTCACATTCAGCGTGCCTTGGGTAAAGTGGAAAGTCTTGAGTCAAGTGCAGAAGGAAGTCATTTTCAATTTCAAGAAATTTATAAATATATATTTTGTTGTAATCTTATTATGGCTTATACCCTTTCGTTAAGATATTTGAAATAGCTTTAGTCTGGGATTAGAATCTAGTTCAGTTGCCTGAAAGATTAGTTTCTTTATTCATAAACTATAAATTTGAGTACTTTTACTTATGAACTGACGTCAATAGATAATATTAGACAAAGGGAAATCCCCATAAATGACAATAAAATAGAACCTTTAATTTAATTAATTTTATTTTACAATATTTTCCTGTGAAGTAAAGCAAATCTTGCTTGAATCAAGTTTTAAAGTTTTCAGTTTCTTAGTTTTCTTTAATTCATTTTCACAAACTCTTTTAATTTGTAGACAACAACTGCCCAGCTTACATTAAGTTTATTGCGAATTAACTCTCACATTAAGTTTATTGCGAATTAACTCTCACAGCATCGCTAATTAAAACCTTGTTCCTTTTGTTGTGTTTTGCAGAAAACCCCAAGCAAATGTGAGTCCCATACGGCAACCGGCAGTACAACAACAACAACTACAACAGCAACGCCAACGCTGCAATACCGGATCGAAAATTCCGACGCTAATTGCGAACCACAGTCCGCAGAGCGCCCAGTCGCCGCTCAGCTGCAGTCCGCCCACGCAGCAAACGCCGCTGGCCAATCATATCGAGGCCGGACACGATACGGTCAACAGCAGTCTCTATCATCCGCAGCCGCATATACCCATCTACCATCAGCAGCTGGCCATTAATCCGGCCGTAGTGGCCGCCCAGCACAGCCACAACAGCGCCCACAACAAGCTGAATCTGTGCGGCTACGATTCGTTTCTGCATGCCACGATTTGTGGCGGAGGCGCCGCCGCCCACTCGCCGCCAGCCACGCCCAGCAATGTGGCCACCGTACAGCCCATACCCAAGAAGAGCAGCAGTCACAGCAAGCAGCAGCAGCAGCAGCAGCAGCAGCAACAGCAGCAGCAGCGCAGCAGCAAGGATTACAAGAACTATGGCAATCTCATCTATGCCAAGCTCAGTGAGCAGCTGCAGCAGAGGGAGCGGGAGCAGCGACGTCAGCAGCGACACAAGCTGCAGCAGCAGCCGCCACAACAGAAGCCCACGCGGGATTCGTGTCGTCCGACTACAGCTACGTCCAGCTCCAGTTCGGCGGGTTCAAAGATCTATGGCGATGCCTTGGAGTGTGCACATCTGCTGGCCAGCGAGGAGGAGGAGCTGCCGGCCAGTCCAATGCTGACCAGCACCCCCAGCAAGGTCGTCTCCACGGACACACTGATCGATCTGAACGACGAGGTGGGCGAGGCTGTTGCCGAGGTCGCCGCCGTGACAACAGCCAAGGATGCCGACGAGCCGTCGGCCCAGCTGGCCGCAGACGTGGATCTGGACACGAGCGCCTCCAGCTCCATGATACATCGCTATGTGCACGAGCACATACATCATCACTATCATCACTTCAAGGAGCAGAACGATATCTAAGGACTAGAAACCATAAATGTTGCTTATGTTTCTTATGATTAAAGTAGCGCAATTTGTAATTTAATTAGCATTTTACTAAAACCCAAGATGATATTATTTCTGCTTCAACGAGGGATTCAAGTTAATAGAGAGGATCCCAGACTCAAACATAAAATCGAATCTGAACTCCATGTCCAAACACTTAATTTATAATCCCCTAGAGCTAATGTTAAGATTTTGTGCGCCTCCGCCTTAGCAAGAATTGAAAATTGAAACATTTAAAAGCCATCGATTGCTTCGCTTATGCAAAAAACAGCCTAGCAACATATCATTGCAGTACTATGTGTATAAACAAAGCAAATTAACATAAACAAATGAAGAAAAAAACAACTATTGTTTAGTGCAAATTATTCACTGAAAACTAAAAAGAAACACAAAAAAAAAAAAAACAAAAACATTTGTTGTCTATTATATGAAAATTTTATGCGCCGCTTTTATGTGTATAGAGAGCCACATTTGTCTATAAATATTATTATTATTATTATTATTATAATTATTATTATTATGGCCTCCATTTAGGTTAGCTATCGACACGTTTATTTATGTACTTTTAAAATAATATTTAATTTGTGAAAGCAACAACAACCCAACAAGACACGCAACAATGCAACAAAAAACCATAAATTATAGTTCAATTATCATTATTTTTTTATTATTATTATCATTAATATTATTATATTTTTTTTGAAACGTTTCATCAATCAATCAATCGACAAACAAGCACAACAACAACAATGCATTTAACTCTTATTTAAATAAAAAAGACTGATTTCCAATTAAACAATATTATCTGCATATAAATAAATAAATACATATATATATATATATATATAAACACACATATAATAGAAAATTTATGAGAAATACTAAATAAATTATTGAATTGCTAAAATTATGAAAAAAAAAACTATTGCATATTATTTAAATGGTTTGAATAAACTACAAGCTCTCACTAAAGTTGATCAGAATTATATAAATTAATATATATTCCTAATAGATCTGATTAAAAACATATCTATTTTAACTTAAAGCTAATTTGCTTTGCCTAAGAAACTTTTTAATGGAGTACGATTACTTCAAACTTCTTTTGTTATATATTTTCGAAATTCTGAATTCTGCCCGTTGTTTCTGAAAATATTGAAAGCTCTAGATATTTTCACACACAAAATGCGGGCTACAATCGATCTCTGCCCCAAATTGCAATCTACCAAATATGGTTAGATAATTGCCATGGGCCAAAACAAAGTTATTTATAGATGGCAGCTAGATCTCTTTAATACATTGACATTGATGCGTTTCAGGCTTGGTGTCTAGCCAACCTGTTAAACTTAAACTGCTCTAAATGTAAGGTAATGACCTTCTATAGAAGCCCTCCTCAATTTGTTTCTTACATCCTTGATAGCATACCGCTTGAGCGTGTTAATAGTACTTCTAATGAAGTTAATGATCTAGGTGTCATCCTTGATCATAAACTTAAATTCGACTCTCGTGTTAATACCGTGGTCAATAAGGCCAGAATAGTTATGGGTTTCATCAAGCGATGGTCAAAGGAGTCTGACGATCCGTACACGACAAAAACACTTTATATATCTTTGGTACGACCTATTCTTGAGTATGCCTCATGTATCTGGTCACCACATCAGGACAGAATTGAATCCGTTCAGAAACAATTCTTGTTGTTTGCCCTTAGTGGTTTAAATTGGGATCCTCGTGTGCGGTTACCGTCATACTCCAGTACACTTCTGATGATTAACCTTCCTTCTTTAATTACTCGTAGAACCATGCTGGGTGTAATATTTATTCATAAATTAATTACTGGTGAAATCGACTCTTCTGTGTTGATTAGCCAATTAAATTTCTCTATCCCTACTAGACTAACACGTAATTTTGTACCTTTATCGCTTCAATTTTGCTCAACTAATTATGCCTTGCATGAACCGTTCAGGGTTCTCTGTGATGACTATAACAAGCATTACAGAGTATTCTGCTCGGAAGCTTCTCTTCCTCGTATAAAGTCTTCTATTCTAAACTATTTAGCAAGTAGATAGTCCTATTTTTATTTGTAATTGTATTTGTACGCGTACTCGTTGTTTGTATCGACTTTTTTTTTTTTCTTCATATTTACTTTGCATTTCGTGTCGTACGTTTACGACTGCGCCCCTCGGTCGGTTGGGCGGGAGGTGGAATGCAGTACGTTGCATCGGGATTCGCGTTCAAAAAAAAAAAAAAAAAAAAAAAAAAAAATAGGTTTTGTATATTAAGCCCAGGAAAATATGGTTGAGTTCGGGTTTCCGTTTATATTAAAGAATAGATTGAGACTTCGTGATTCGGTTCGGCGTGAAACCGAGTTGTAGACTTGGTTCTATGCAATTTTTACAAACTAATTGAAATTATGAATTAATTTTCTAAATTTGTTTATCACAAAAAAAACGCCCTTTTTTCGCTGCCAAAAGTCAAATATAGTTTCATAACTTGCTAATCTATTTAAAAAATCAGCTGCACTTTGACCTGGCAAAGAGGGAAGTTTTGAAATTTCTTCAATAGAAAATACACTTTCTTTACTTTTCATGCGTATAATAGAAATGTTGCCTCGGCTGAATACTAATTAATATGTAAGCTAAAAAACATTAGTGAGAGCGAAACGGAGCTGAGAAAAAAATGTAAATTGTGAGAAGACTTGTGTACTAAGACCAGAAATTGTGTATTGTTTGGTTGGCGTGCGCGCCTCGGCCAAAGTCTAATAATAAATCGTCGTGCGCCAAGTGACAAGAGATGAAGATTGAGATCCAACAGAGCCACAACCACAACCACAACCACAATCAGAACAAGAACCAGCACCAGAGACAGTCGAAATTTGTTTGCTGCTCAGTGAATTTTCAAACGTTGCGCATTACGCAAACAGGCGCAGCAAATTCTTGACTGATTCTCGTGTAGATCGAGTCCGAGGATGAGTCCGCCCACAGCCTGTGCCTTCTGTCAATCGCATGCGACACAATTGTGCGCCGGCTGCCGCAGCGTCGTCTACTGCAGCCGGGAGCACCAGAAGGAGCACTGGAAGCGTGGCCATAAACGGGAGTGCAAGTGCTTCGAGCTGAGCTCCAATGAGACGCTGGGCAGGCATTTGCGCGCCACGCGGGACATCAAAATGGGCGAGCAGATCATGCGGGAGCCGCCGCTCGTGGTGGGCCCCAAGGTGGCCTCGGTGCCGCTCTGCCTGGGCTGTCACAAGAACCTGCTGCCGCCGACGAAGCCGGCCCAGAACTATCACAAATGCAGCGCCTGCACCTGGCCGCTGTGCAGCGCCGAGTGCGAGCAATCTCCCTACCATCTGGCCGAGTGCCGGCTGATGGCTGGGAGTAACTTTGAGTGCAAGATCAACTACAAGGCGGCGGAGCAGGAGCACAAGGAGTCCGCCTATTGTGTGATCATGCTGTTGCGCTGCGTGCAACTTAAGCTGGAGAGCCCGGCGGCATTTTCCCGGCTCTACGAGCTGGAGGATCATCTGAAGGAACGCCTGGAGACGCCGCTCTACCAAGTGCTGCGCGCCAATCTGATCACATTCATTAAGACCGTGCTGGGCCTGAACAACTGCTCCGAGCTGGAAATCCTGCGCATTGCCGCCATCCTGGACACCAACGCCTTCGAGCTGAGGCAGCTCGACGGCTGCGTAAAAGTGCGTGGCCTGTATCCGGGCGCGGCCATGTTCGCCCACGATTGCGTGCCCAATATGCGGCATCGCTTCGATGACGACATGAACATCGTGTTCCTGGCCAAGCGGCCAATTGCCAAGGGTGAAGTCCTCAGCATATCCTACACCCAGCCATTGCGAAGCACCATCCAGCGACGGGTGCATCTGAAGCAGGTCAAGTGCTTCGATTGCGCCTGTGCCAGGTGCGAGGATCCCACCGAGCTGGGCACCTTTGCGGGCGCCCACGTGTGCGGCAAGTGCAAAGTGGGCAAGGTGGGCTATTATATAATTAACTCTAATTATATTTTATTAATCCATATTTGTCGCTCAGATCATCTCAATGGATCCTTTACAACTGGCTGCCAACTGGAAATGCGAGGTGTGCAATTTGAAGAGGAGCGCCAAGGAATTCCTGACCCAGGATGCGAAAATAGAGCAGGAGCTGGAGTCGCTGGACAAGACAACGCCGCTGAGCCTGGAGGATTTCCTCTATCGCCATCGCGTTGAGCTGCACGAGACGAATACGCACATTCTCCAGGCCAAGTACGCCTTGACCCAGCTTTATGGCCATGCGCCGGGATTCGCCATGGATGGTGAGACATAATTGAATGTTGTAAAATCTACTGAAATGTGAATCCCTTAGAGCTGAGTGAGAAGTCTCTAAAGCGCAAAGTGGAACTCTGCGAGGAGCTGTTGGAGATTTCGAATCTCTTCGATGGCGGCTGGAGCATATTTCGCGGCAATTTGCTGATCGAGTTGCAGGAGACGGTTCTGGCACAGGCCCTGAGCTTGGAGAACGCCAGCGAGTGCAAAGCTAAGCTTAAACAAGCTGCCGAGCTCCTGCAGGAGATATCAAACATTATGAACAATGAACCGGAGATGCAGCAATTGCTGGAGGAGCGAAGACAAATGTTGGATGCGGCATTGGCACGCTTTGCAGTTGGTGCTGAATAACTAGATAATTAACACAACATGTTTTATTAAAACCCTTTAATAACATTAGTTTCATAACCGCGAACAAAGGGTTGATTCTCATTTTTGAATCTTTAAGATGGTTAGCAACGCGACTATTGTGAACTAGCAGCATTGCTGAGTGCGGCTGATCTACCGACCGCCACATATTATCGAAATACATCCAGTCGGGCGGTTAATCGTCTGGCCGCCACATATAATCGATATACGATGAGTCTTTATTTTGCATTCATCACTTAAAAGAATTTCACGTGTTGCACGTGCTTCTAAAATTTTTATTGATATTGTGTGCTTAAAGCAATTAAATGAGTGTGGCTATAGCAGAAAATCAACCCGAGCTCACGGAGAGTGTTGCGGAAAGTACGGAAAAGTCTGATCAGGCAGATCAGCAAGAGGCGGCAAGTACAAAAAGTGCAGAGGTGGAAAAAGCCGGCAGTGAGTTTGCTTATTTGGAACGCAATGAATTTACATCGGAAATCTATAAAATTGAAGTGAAGAACATGGGTTATTTTGGCATTGGGGTAAGTTATTGCAGAATAATAAGAGATTAGCTTATTAACTTGCCGCTGCAGGAATTTAAGAAGCTGCTCAAAAACACACTGAAGTTGGACATGACCAAAATCAAGTCACCCACACGCAAGGAATTTGCTTTTGTGTGCTTTCGCAGCCAAGCAGACCAGCAGCGCGCCCTAGAAACGCTTAATGGCTACAAGTGGAAGGGAAGGATCCTTAAGGCCATGGCAGCCAAAGCGTCCGCTGATCCACTGCACAAACGACGCGGCGAAGAGGATGCCGGTGAAATCAAACCAAAGCGACAGCGCACTGCCGTTGAGGCCACGTGCCCGTTAGCTGAAATGCCCTACGAAAAACAGCTGGAACAAAAGACGGAGGAGATGGCAACGTTGCTCAAGAAATACACACAGGAACTCCGTCGTCTGAATGCTGACGCGAAACCGCATCTGGATAAGTTTCAATTTAAAAGTGTTTTGCCCTCACCCACTGTCAATGGCTATCGGAATAAAAACGAGTTCACTGTGGGCAAAAACCTGGATGGAGAGATTGTAGTTGGTTTCCGTTTGGGCAGCTACAGCGACGGTTCCGTGGAAGTAGCCGAGGTGCAGCAGTTGCCACATTTGCCAGCGCAGGCTAAATGGGCGGCGCAAAGCTTCCAGCAGCTGGTCAGGCAGTCAAAGTTCCAGCCCTTCAATCCTGTCGGTAACGTGGGCCACTTTCGACAGTTGATGGTGCGCAGCTCCACCGCAACAGGCGAACTAATGTTGGTAGCTGGCATATACTCATCCAATTTGAGCGAAACTGAGCAGCAAGAGCTGCAGAATGAGCTAAGAACTTTTTACGGGCAGCCGGAGCAGAATACTACACACAAATGCACTTCGCTTTACTATCAGGATGTCAAGCATCGCGAGGCGGGCCAAATGGTCAATCCTGTCACACATCTCTCCGGCAGCACACACATTACGGACACCATACAGGGGCTGCAGTTTCGCGTCAGCCCCTTGGCCTTCTTTCAAATCAATACAGCCGGTGCAAATGTTCTTTACCAGCAGGCGATAGACTTGGCCGCACCCAGCCGGGACACTACAATGCTGGACATTTGCTGCGGCACTGGGACCATTGCCTTGGCCTTTGCCAAGCACTGCAAACAGGTGCTGGGCGTAGAAATTGTACCAGATGCCATCAAAGATGCGGAATACAATGCACAAACCAATGACATTAAGAATTGCAAGTTCTTTGCGGGCAATGCTGATGACTTCATAAAAAGCATGGTGCGGGAGGCTCTGTATGGACAGGAGCCAGGCAAGCCAGTGGATTTAATAGCTGTAGTGGATCCTCCGCGTGCTGGACTGCGTAAGTTTAAAATAATAGAAAATTTGCTAAAATTAATATTTCTTTCATTCTATTACAGATAATCGTTCCATAGCCGCCATACGATCGGCGAGTGCCATCAACCGTCTGGTCTATGTCTCCTGCAACCCCAACAGTGCCAAGCGTAATTTCATAGAGCTAGCTAGACCGGAGTCCAAGCAGTACAAAGGGGAGCCCTTTTATCCCAAGACAGCCGTAGCTGTCGACATGTTTCCACACACAACGCACACGGAGCTGGTCATTTTGTTTGAGCGTGAAACCAAGTCAACAGCAGCTGAGTCTTTGAAAGGAGAGGCCACAGCGGAGGCAACAAAAGAAACCAATGAATCTGTGGTGACATCAGCAACGTGATGCTGACGGTACAGTTGCTCAATTAATATATGACCACAATACATTATCACTGATAATCACTTTATTGCAGGCCTCTCTCGCCTAGCGCTCCTCTCTCTCTCGCTGCTGCTTATCACGAGGTTGACATCCATCATCGGCTCTTTGTGCGACTGCGGCTGCGAGTTTTATTGTTTTAAATTGATTTAATTGTATTTACGTTGTTCCGGCGTCTGGTACGACAAAGTGACTTCCTGTTTAATAGTTTAAGAACTGCGCTGAACACTTTTCTCAGTTCACGTCAGTTCTTGGCGGGAGCTTGATAAGAAGTGATTGCAAAAAAAGTGCTAAGCGCGTGCCTCCACAAGCTGCAACTCTAAAATCCGACAAAGACTTTAAAGTGTTAAAAACAACCTCCAACTTCCAAGGCCAACATTAATTAGAGGCTCGACGATTTGTAGTGGTCCCCACGCAAGAATGTCTGAACAGGTATGCTATTTTATATTTACAATAAAATAGACTGTTTGTTTTTGTATATACAAAATGTGCATATATGTTCTCTATTTATTTGTTGTCGTCAATGGCGGCTAAGCAGAATGAGAAACGAATCAGAATCCGCACCTTTGTTATTTAACTATGTATTGCCAGGTAAATTGAGTATATTTAATCAGCATTAGCTGTATTATTGCCAATACTAGGTCTTGACTATGTCCATGAGTACGTCTTTCTCAAAGATGGCTTCAAGCCAATCTGGTACATGACATACATTTATCGTCAACTAAACTAGTTTGTACTTCTAGGTCGAACCTTTAGAATGAAATAGTTGCATCTTAAAGGCATATATATATGCATCCTTTATACAACTGCTAGGCAGGCGGGGTGAATAAATTGACCTTTTGAGTAGCATTCCAAAGTAGATTTAATTTGAAAGAGAATATGGGGTTCCTTAAAGGTCAATTTTGCTGTTCATCCATCTGTCCGTTCACGCTACCTATCGTCCGTCTGGGTAAATTTTCTTAGTCAGAAAAGGTGTTAAGATTATCTTCCAGAGTTTTAAGTGCTTGCTGAAGGAATTTAGAGTTGACGAGCTGCTTTAATTTTGAAAATATTTTCAAATATTTTGGCGATTGCCGAATCGAAAAAATCGACATCTATTAACAAATTAAGCTGGGTAATCTTTTTTCGGTTGTTATTGGATGGTGAACGGGTATTACGCAGTCGGTTGCACCCGATAGATATTTATTCCATTTACGTATGCGTTCAGCAGCTGTTTATTGTTTTGCTTTGTAACAAGCCGTTATCTAAAAGCTTTCGAAAATGTAAACAAATAAATATTTTATTAATGCAAGAATATAACAAAATAACTTCTGAACGTGCCTGACAACATGTTGATGCAAACAAATGTCCTCATACGTAGTTTTGAAATAAACTGGCGCACGTAGTAAATATGTCGTGTGTGGCACTTGTGTATGTATGTTTATGTGTGCTCACATACATATCTACATGCACAGTTGAGAGAGCTGAATAAGCGCTGCAAAGTGAACTTTGGACTTTAATGGGGTGTTTGTCTACACAATGATTTAAAAACAAAGCAAATAATGCAAAGACAGCAATAAAATGAAATGAAAACAGAACAAGTTAAGCACAAATACAAATAACTCAAATCAAAAACGATCAAAAGCTGCTTCGATGCGAGTCACACGCAAAGAAATGGGAACAAAACAAGGAAAACAGAACAAAAACAACATTAAACATACATGTGTACATGCAAAAGTTATCTACATACACATGTATGTCTATATTTATGTTTTGGGGCGTGCCTGGCAACATACGCACATATTCGTTTATAAACTTATGATTACGATCGTTGCCCACATAGAGAGCAGACCTTGGCCGCAGAGCTTTGAATTCAAAGCAATTTGCGCACGGAAAAGCTCTCGTGTCGAATAAAGCGCTTGTTCGCAGTTGGTTGCCTTATCAACAACGACGTAAACAAACAACAAGGAAAACAATGACCACACAACCGACGTGAACCGGTTTGCGAGAGCCACACAAGGAGAGCAAAAGCTTTTGAATGCTCAAAATCTCATTTGGGGAGGAGGGCTCGACCACGCCAGAAACATTGACGACGCCCCACACAAGCAAAACTTTACACGTGCTCTGCGGCAGCGACGCCGACGTCTGCACACGACTAACACGTTTCTGTTTGGAGCAATGCATGCTTGGAGATTGGGCTGCTGTCTGCTCTCTGCCTCTCTATCTGTCGCTCCCGCATTTCGTTTATTGTTGCTGTTGTTTCGTTCGAAGCGTGCTTTTGAGCAGTTTTGTAGTGCAAAATAAGGCTGTTAACCAATATTTGTACGTTTCACGTATACTCTATAAGCAATTGAGGCTGCACCCTGATAATCTGTGGCTAGCATGACGCGTTGAACCTCGGTAGCTTTTTGCCCTTTTATTTAGAAGTACATTCCGGCGCAGATATTGCTTATCACTTTTTGTCAAGCTGGGAGGACTTTGTTCTCAGCTACTCAAAAATGCATTAAAAAATTTTCTGTTTTTTTTTTTAATGATTGATGTGAAGCAATTAAGGCGTACCATATGTCCCCTTGTTATTCAAATAATACTTTTGTTTTTATTTTTATTGGAAATCGTGTGTGCTTTCTTTTCCTTTATATCTCTCTTTGTTTGTTTGTATATTAAACTTATCTTCTAATTTTTAAGAGCATTGTAAAGTCAGCTAGGGCATACGCGCATACACGTTTTATGAAGTGTTTTTGTTTTTGCCGACTGCTGAGGCCAACAACATTTTTAAAAAGCCATAGCAGCAACTGTACCCCCGAGTCGAAATTCAAAACAAACCCAACGCCAACGTTCATGTCGTCGCCGTCGGCACATACACAATGAAAACTGGCAGCAAAAGCTCTGCGCCGCACGAGCTGTTTACGATAAAAAGAATTCGTTTAAAATGCGCGCACAACAAAAGCGCTTGGAACAGTTGCGACTGCAACGTCGGTGCGACGACGACGGAACGTCTAGAGCGTCCTAGCTTCAAACAACACACAAAAGGATACCAAAAAATATATAAAAAACTACAATCAACAAAAAACAATTAAAAGAATTTTTCAAATACCCCAGTACAAAATGCTAGCCTAGCTAAACAACAAAATTGCGCATACGCCGCGTAGTGCAAAAAATACAATACAAAGCAAATCCAACTGTGATATACAACTTTTAAGTTCTTCGTCAAATTATTCGTTGGGACCCCAACTAACTGTGTTATTGCCCCCAGCCAGCACATAAAACATGTCCGTTCCAATGTTATTAACGCCGTTGGAACCCCAGACGCCAGATGAGCACATGCAAAATGTAATTATAAGTAATTTATTTATTTTAAACCTAAGCCAGAGAGCGCAATGGGATTGGGATGGACATTGACGTCAAGTGTGCATTTTGCGATTGCCTTTGTTTTGACATTTTGGTTAAATTGAAGGTTAAAATTTTGTTGTCATATGCAAATGTCTGACATGTCGCCTTTGCTTTTTGTCGAGCCAAAATACTCTTCTGTTTTAGTAAAATCAATAAGCGCTAAAATGATGTAGTATGAGTCGCTTAACATTGCGAAGAAATAGTAATTGATAGTGTCTTAAAATATGAGCTTAAAAAGAATCATAGAATCGCCCAGCTTGATTTATAACCCACTTGAAACTATAGTAGGCTTCACTTGCTGCTAAATATATTTGATATCTTTTACATATATTGCGCACATAAACAGGAAATTGATATATGCAATTGGCAGCTGAGTCATCTGCAAATTTAACCCCTACGATATCCGCCCCTCATTTTCCTGAGCGCCTCCTCGTCGAGTTGCGTGTAAAAGCTTTGCTAATAGTGCCGCATGTTGCAAAGCAGGCCGTCACGTGTCCATGCCGCAGCAGTTGCTGTTGCTATCGGGTTTCAGAGTATTCGGGGAAACTTGACTGCAGAAGTGGCTCTCAATGTACTTCGATAAGATTGCGATTTATTAGATTTACAGGCCTAATCTAAACACTTAATTTACCAGGCACTTGATTCTTATCAATGCAAAAAAAAGAAGAACGATGCTTAAAGTACTATTAACCCTTGAAAATAGAAACAGCTAAGCAGATTATAAGGAACTAGCCATATTTCATGCATGTAAATAGCCCAAAAGAGAAAGCTTTTGACATGAAATTTCCCATAACAAAAAACATATGAGTGCCAAAGCTCGACAGCGCGAGAGCGAGAGGAAGCGGGAGAGCACATGCTATACAATTCTGTTGCCAACACGTGCCACAGCAATAAAGACGAAAAATAATGTAATTAGCTTGTAAATTACAGTCAAAAAAAAAAAAACAATTTGAATCGAATAGTATTTCATATTTCCCTCCCTCTCTCTCTCTCTCTCTCTCTGTCTGTCTTGTTTGCATTCTGTTCGCATTGCTGTGTGGTAGATAAGGCGTTGCCAAATGCTATTTGGTATATTTAAACGTTGGCAAGGTTCCGCTAATTGTGCCAAGACCGTAACGGGACTGAGGTGAGGAAAAATCACAAAGAACATGCGGAAAACTATGCATAACTATAGGCCATATACTATGGCACGACGTACATATACTTGGCATAGTAAATGCCAAACCTCACAATTTTCATCTCGAACTCTTCTGCCTAAATTTCGTTTAGCTGTTGTTGTTGCTTTTTGTTTTCTACGTAGATTTGCGTATTTCGCCAAAGCATTCGCTGCTGTCGGCCCGTTTCGAGCTCTTTCATCGCGTGGGCGCTCAGTTCTGGTGAAACTGTAATAAATAAAAATAAAAAAAAAGTTGATCAAAACAAATCGCAACCTTAACACGTGATCCAAATCAGTGCGAGCAAAAACAGCCTTTAAATTATTGTCACATTTATGAGTTTAGCCGCCTTAATATTGCATAAATTTTGAATTTTTACCGTATTGGTTGCTGGGTGACAGCGGCCAGGTTGCTTAACAACAGCGCCGGTGACGTCATGAAGCGCTGCTTGCAGCTACAGCCACAACTACGTCACTTGCGTGCGCAGCGCGCGCGTTTTCATACGCAGGTAAATCGCGCGTTATAACGCGTTTAAAAACGCACGCGTATTTTTAGCGATAAATGGCGTTTCTTCTAAATGCAAATTGCAGCTGTTGATAAATCATTTTTGTTTATATGGAAATCGGTATTTCAAGCGAAGTTTGACATTGACTTCTTACATTTGAAAATTTAAATTATATTCTCTGATGTCTCTTATAATATAAACTCATAATTTTTTAAAATTGTATAGACTAGACACGTTGTAAATGGGTTTATGCTTGATTTACGCACACGTGTCTGTCGTTTGCTAAATAGAAATGTCTGCGCTTATAAATCATACAAAGTAAAATGCCTAGAATATTTAGAATCCGTATATATGTATGTATGTACCTATGGATCGGGGTTCATTTGATTAACCAGCTGAACTTGTGGCCGATTAAGAGCTGTATAAACATGCGCCTAATCTCTATCTCGCTGATCTCTTAGGGGGCAACACGTGATTTTGTTTGCACTTGCGCCAAAGTCACGAGCTGTTTCAACAGCGGGCGACTTAAAACGCTTCTGATAACCTGCGATCTATTTTCATAGAGTCTAACTGATTTCGCTGCTAGCAGAGCTTCCTTATCAGGGGGAGAGCGAGAGTCTTCACATCATATTTGAGCCACTGCCCGCCGCTTTTCGCAGTCAGTTTCAGTGTGGATTTCATAGTTGTCGCCATGCTTGGTTCCCTATTAATCCTTGGCATTGTCGCCTCATCTGTCTTGCAGTGTGTTTCGTATGCGGATGCTGCGGCTGCCATCGCTGCCTCAAACTATGCTACTGGCAACGAGCTCATCGAGGCGGCCCCCTCCACTAGCTGCAAGCCCACTCTGAGGCAGTTCAATGTACGGCTGCAGGCGCCTCTGGCGCCCGAGGAGCAACTGGCTCTAACAGGCGACGCCAAGGCGCTAGGCGAGTGGCAGCTGTCGCGCTGCGTGCCCCTGGATCGATTGGATGACCTCACCTGGCAGACCAACGTGCGGCTACAGTCGTGCCGCCAGCTGGAGTATCGATACTTCGTGTACGTGGAGAATGCGGCCGGCTACAAGCAAATACGTCGCTGGGAGACGCACTTCAAGCCGCGCGTGCTGCACGCCAGCATGGAGGAGCAGTGCCACAGTCCGCTGGATGTGTTTGGATTGGCCAATGTGGATGAGTCGACGGCTCAGGTGCATCGCGGCTGGTTGAACCATGAGGCTATTGTGCAGCTTAAATTTAATGGCGAGAAGATGTTCCAAGTCCATGACATCGAGACCTTTGATCCGCAGCACGTGCAGCTCAAAATTGTGCCCGTCGAGGAGTCTCCTGGACTCGTTGTGGAATACACCAAGCATCTTTATGGCCAGAGTCAGCTGCAGCTGCAGCCGGCGCATGGCGTATCCTATACCAAAGGCGACATTGTCATCTTTCATATCACCCTGCCGCTGGATCGCATGATGCACCAGAGTTTCCGCCTGGAGTGCTATGGCCTGCAACACGAGCTCCTTGGCACCGCCAGCCTGAGTGCTGCCCAGCTAACGGGCAGCGAGGGACTGCTCCAGCTACACATCAAGTCCGCCCAACGGGCTGACGAGACGCTGGCCCGCTTGAGGCTGCCCTACGTGCTGGTCCAGCCCTACCAGTACTCACCGCTGGACTTCAAGAACACCTATGCGCACTACTGGCCGCGCAGCTGGCCCAACCTGGATGTTGGGCATCGCGGCAACGGCAAGAGCTACATTGCCGAAGCGCCGCTGGAGCGTGAGAACACGATTGCATCGTTCCTGACCGCACATGCACATCATGCGGATATGGTTGAGTTGGATGTGCACTTGACGGCCGATGGGATACCCGTGATCTATCACGATTTTGGGCTGCGCACCGCGCCGCCGGGAAAGGTGATCGAGAAGCCCGATCAGCTGGAGTATGTGCTGATCAAGGACATCAACTATGAACTGCTCAAGCGGCTGCGCATCTTCTCGGTGATCAATGGCAAAGTACAGGAATATCCCGCACACAATGCCGAGCCACGTGTCGAGCATCGCATCTTTCCCAGACTGGTGGAGGTGCTGCAGCAGCTGCCCAAATCGCTGGGCATCGATGTGGAGATCAAGTGGCCACAGCGGCGACAGGGCGGCGGCTCTGAGGCGGAGCAGACCATTGATAAGAATTTCTTTGCCGATCGTGTGCTGCACGAGGTCATTCAATACGGCTGCGGACGTCCCCTGATCTTCTCCAGCTTCGATGCGGACATGTGCACCATGCTGCGCTTCAAGCAGAACCTCTTCCCGGTCATGTTCCTCACACAGGGCGAGACCAAGAAATGGCAGCCTTTCAGCGATCTACGCACGCGCAACTTCGTGGCCGCCGTTAACAACGCGCAGGCCTTCGAGCTGGCGGGCACTGCGCCCCATGCGGAGGATTTCCTGGGCGATAATGCGGCCCACATGCTGCAGCAGGCGCGCGACCTGGGACAGATTGCCGTCATCTGGGGCGACGACTGCAATTCAAAGGAGCGCGTCAAGTATTTCACAGAGATTGGAGCGACGGCCACATGCTACGATCGCAGCGATCTCTATATGCCCGAGAAGAAGCAGCGATCGTTCTTCAATTCCAGCGCGCTGCTCGCCGAGTTCGAGGCTCAATGCAGGATGTAAGGGGAGGGAGGGCCGAGTGAGGGAATGGGTCCGTCAGGCGGGTAATCGTAGTCTAAGCACTGGGCTGAGCTCACATCCAAAAAAGAGATTCAAGCTTAAAATATGTAAATAATTTGTACTCTTGCCCAAAATGTAAATAACTAAAAAACAAAACGTAGCAATTAACAAATTGATATTTTCTAATAATCTATGCCAATGTGAACTCAGCTTAAGTCCAATTGAAGCTATATTTGTATTTTGATTTAAGCTTATAAATTGTTTTTATATTTATTAATACTATTATATATTCAAATTGGAAGCGTAGCAGAAAATTTTACAGAAAAGGCGTGCTCAGGGATGGAAAAAATAATAGATGTATAGTAAAAATTCTATAAAATGTAAACCCAAATTAACTTTCAACTAAACCTAGTAGGTCAAGTGATAACCAGTTACCGATCTTTTATCGCTAATACTCTATTTATTTTTGCACTTTGTTCTGCAAATAAATATAAAGAATGTTGATACAAAAATAAAACTAAAAGACAATGACAAGAGAGCAGAGAAAAATGCTTAAAAAAATAACTTAAAAATAAAAAAAACAAAAAAAAAAATACCTCTTACAACATGATTATGTGCAAAAGCGTCTGCAGATTTGTATTTTATTAAAAGTACAATAATTTTTCAAGCGTGTTTTATATAAATTCACAGCTATTTACAATATTTTATGAAGAGAAAAAGATTTAAGTATAAGCACAAGCAACAAAAAATAAATAAATTAATGTGTTTTCAAATACGGAATGTTAAAAGATTAAAAAAACCATGGTATAATATGCAAACAGCTCTAAAAGAAACTCGAAAGAAGAACTTTTGGCACATCGAAGATTTAATACCCTGCTAGGAGGAGCAAAACTTTATTTCCAATAGATGGTGGATCCAAAAGTAGTCCAATGATAGATGAGGAGAACAATGAGTAATGAGCTCGCTCTGAAGAACAAACAAGTTTTCCATGTTTGGTATTTTCATGTATTTAATATGTAAAATTCACCATAAAACACGTAAATGCCAGGTCTGGCCAAGAAAACCTGAAAAAAATATGTTTCTTCAAGAATGCAGATATTGCCGGATCATTCCTATGCACTATATATTATATGGTGGTATGTGAAACGTGCAAAAAAGAAAGCGATGACACTGATCAAACATATATGTGTATACACATTTGATAACAAATAGATAATACCCTCTGTCAGGGTATATAAATACCACCAAAGAATATTTAGAGCAACAAGAATATCTTTCAAAACAATTCAATTGAAGTACAATAAAATATTACCATAAAAATACAAATCATTTTTACTCAAAGCACATGAAGCGAGAGAACGAAGGAGAGAGAGAGAGAAGGAGAGAGAGTGAGAGAGAGAGAGAAGAAAGAGTGAGAGAATCCACATACCACACAGTCATTTACAACATTCGATATGCCATTATTTAATAGTCTCTGACGAATTCGTAGATCCATAACAAACTCGAGAAGAAACATCAGAAATAAAATGAAACAATTCGGCTACGACTTAATATTCGTTGGTCAATTATGGAGCGGGTCATTTGCATGAAGATGGAGGCAATGTTGACAGCTTATCGCAGCCTGAGGCCCAGATGGTATCTATTTTTGTGGTTGATGTGTGCCTCAGCTGTGGTCTTGGGCCACGCTTGGAGATGCTCGTACAAAGAGTTTCCAGTGGACGACGAACGGGTGAATGGGTCTCGATCTTCAGCCAGATAAGCAAATTAATGTTCATGTTACAAATTTCGTGTATCTGTATCTGTGTATACATATAACATGTAGATAAAGGGCACTTGGTGGATCTTCGCCTCGTATCCTCAGTCAACCAACAGATGCATGTTTGAAGAGCGTAAGTCTCTGAACTGCTAAGATTTACTCGACGTAACTTCTAATTGCTTGGTTTTGTTGCAGTGGATCTGTACTGGAGCCGCATCACGTTGACGGACTACGACAACTTTGCCGTGGAGCTGCATTGCTCGTTGCCCTGGTTTCGCCCGCAAAAGGTGATTTATACGCGTGCCAAGGAGCCCAGCGCACAGGTGCTCGATCAGGTGGAAAACTATCTGAACAGCGTGGATTTATCCTGGCGAGATTTCCATCTGGTGAATAAGTCGAGTTGCCTGAATCTCACAGGCGAGCCCATTCAGCGCTGGCATCTGTCCAAGTACATGCATTTGGACTATAATCCGCATTATGTGAAGCCCCTGGTAATTGACAAGAACATCTGAGCAGCTCTCTCGAACTTTCTTCAACATCTGGCAATTTGCATAAATGCCAATTTTACGGGGCCAACCCGATTAGTTTGTGGCGACTTATTAATCAAGCCCAGAGAGCCCACAACTAACGTGTATGTACACTGAGCGAAAAATAAAGGAACTTACGAAAAAGAGAAATGTTTATACGAGTGCTTGGAATGTGGTAAGTGATAAATAGGAAAACCAATTTTTTTTATGTTATACGATATTTATAAAAGAAATATTAAGAAAAAGAAGAAATCAGAAACAGGTTGCAGTTGGGTTCAATATACTGCGAAATACCCGTTCACAGTCAGAAAATAACCGAAAACTGGCTATCCGTGAATTAATTATGCGATTTTTGGTTTTATTTCCGATTTTTTTTTACTTTATTCGATTTTAAGAAGTGATCTTCTATATTCTTAATATAATCTTAACACTTTTATGGACCTGGGTATATCTATAGTATAAAGTTTAATATTAAGTCAAACTTGGGGAAAGAAGTGTAGACGGACAACCCGAATATATTAATTTCATTTTTTATTTACTATCTACTTGTATCTACTGTGCTGTAAGGTTATCTAAAAGCCTGCTGAGCTTGGCTGCGATCAATATTGTTTTGTTGTGGGCCATCATTTCTCTCAGTGCAATTACAGCTGATTTACAGCCACAAAACTATGCGGAACATTTGGAAGTTCTTTCATTTGAACGTCTGTTAGTGCCCGGTTAAGAACTCATCCAAAAAGAAGAAGAGAGTCTCCGAGCGGGTTCGTCATAGCCAACGCTTCGCGCCGTCCGCGTTTCGTGGTAAAAGAAAACAAGTTTCTTTATTCGAGGCGAGATGATGCTGCCGCTTGATTTGGAGAAGACGAAAAATGTATCGAGTGCTAAAATCAATTAGCATACTCTATAAGATCGCTTTGTTGTGGCCATTGTTTTGCAAAGCGGCAGCCACAGTCAGTCCCACACTGAATGGAACGTCTGTCTTCGGTCGAGCGCAGCTGCAGGCGCAGGCCTTCAAGCCTTTTGATGCTGAGCGGCACGCACAGCTAACCGGACGTAGTTTTCTCTGCTTGCCCTTTTTTCGTGTATTCAATCTGGAGCTGCGGCCGGGCCAGCAGCTGGCAGCGGATGAGGAGATCGCCGTCAGCGGGGATCATCGTGCGCTAGGCGCCTGGAGCATTGCCAAGGCGCTGCCATTGCGTGCCCAGAACAAGCAGCGCAGCAGGTGGTATCTGCGCCGTTGGATATGCGCCAGTCATCGTGTCTATTATCGCTATCTCGTCTACACGTTGGACGCAGCCGGCGAGCGTGTGTTGCGTCGCTGGGAGGGGCAGCAGGTGCCGCGCATGCTGCAGACCTTTGAGATCTATCGCTCCCCGGGCGTGGACATTTTCGGCGAGGCCTATCCGCGCTCGGTGGGCGGCGGGCACTTGCTGGAGCCTGGCTGGCTGCAGCGCGAATATGTCATTGAGCTGAAGTTCGTTTGGGAGCAGCACTTACAAATCGCCGGGCTGAACAACCAGGAGAAGTTGCGCCTGAAGCTCCGATCGCTCAGTGTGCTGGACAACGCGCTGATTGAGGTTTCGCGCTATGCCTACAATCGTTCCTCCTTCCGGCCGCAGAGTCGGCTGGGCGTCCGGTATGCCGCCGGCGCCATAATCATCTATCGCATCAGCCAAGCGCTGGATGTGTCCAATGCCTTACGCCTAGACATATACGGCCTGGATGGCGGGCAGCTGCCTTTGTGCGAGGCCTATATAATGCCCGAGCAGCTGCGCGGCAGTCGCGGCATTCTGAAGCTGCCCATACAGGGTCAGGTCACACAGCAGGTCATAGGTCAGCTGACGCTGCCCTACTTGGTGGTGCGGCCCATGCCCAATGCAGCTGCCAGCAATTTGCGTGTCAGCTTTCAACGCTACTGGCCCAGCAATTGGCCCACCCTGGACGTGGGTAATCGTGGCCTGGGTACCAGTTTTTACCAAACCAGCAATCAGCTGGTGGAGAACACCATCGAGAGCTACCTGGCCGTACCCAGGGCCAAAGGCGACATGGTGCACCTGGACGTGCAATTGACCAGAGACTATGTGCCTATCGTTTGGCGTGGCTTTGGCTTCTTTACCACCAAGCAGGCAACCACACAACCCATAGTGGATCGCTTCGATTTACGCCATGTGCTCATCCGGCAGCTGAGCTACGCCGAGCTGAAGGCCAGCCGTGTTTTCATACTGAAGAGGTGGTCCCTTCAGGAGTACACGCACTTGAACGTGCGTAATGTGAGCCAGCCACAGCGACTTTTTCCAAAATTGAATGAAGTATACGAGGCGCTGCCCAAGACTCTGGGCCTGATCGTGGAGATCAAGTGGCCGCAGCTCATGGCATCGGGCGTAATGGAGTCCACGCAGTCACTCAACAAGAACGTGTTTGTGGACAGGATTATAGAGGTCACGGCGCGTTATGGCTGCGGACGCCCGTTGATCTTTGCCAGCTTTGATGCGGATATATGCACCATGATACGGCTGAAGCAGACAGCCTTTCCGGTTATGCTCATGACCACGGGCCGCACGGACATCTGGGATGCCTATATGGACCTGAGAACCCAGACTTTTTTGCAAGCCATCAACTTTGCCGAAAGTGCCGAGCTGCTCGGCACGGCGACGCATGTCCAAAATTTTCAGCACAATCAGCAGCTGGTGGATCTGGGCCTGGATCTGCAGCAGGTCGTCTTTATCTGGGGCAGCGATCTGCAGGATGTACAGGAACTGGAACAGTTTCGTGCCAGCGACGTGACTGGCCTGATCTACGATCGCATCGACCGTGTGGGTCCCGCCCAATGGAAGCGTGCGCCCTTCTTCCAGGCGCCGCAGTTGCTCGAGGTGTTCGGCGGCCAATGCGTGGCCATTGGCAACTCGACGACGGTGCCGGGCGCCAAGCCAACGAAGCCCACGATCTGGCCCAAAATGCGAAAATGAGTAAGTTTCCAGTGATAAATCTTATGTGCGTATCATATGGGAGAATACTTCTTAAAACACGGGGACTGTTAATTAGAAGATTTTAATCTATAACAAAATTGCGGAAAAATTTCAAAAATAATTCTGTTAAATACGGACATAAGGGAACATCTATTAGAAGTATACCTAATATCAGTCCGCTCTGTTAAGGACTTTGATACCTTTCATTTAAATTAAAATGAAACAAAAAACAACAGCTATCTCCGACACACCGAAGTCTAAATACCCTGAAGATATAGCTAAAAACAGTTGTCGTAAGCAAAAGCTTTATTTTCAGCCGATTTCTTAGCATGCCGATATGATATGGGAATAAGCATGAATATAATATGGTTTCTATGGAAAACGACAGACAGACCTGGCTATATCGACTCGGTTAATGTCACCGATCAAGAATATATACTTTATGTGTCTCCATTTCGTGACAAATTTATAATAATACTATATAAATAGGAAGAGCTGCCTTTGCCTAGCCTACCTCTTGACTATATCATTGATAAATAATTAAAAATAATAATTAATAACACACGCTCGAATTCGAAACATGAACAAAATAAGGATAAATTCTGCGAATTGTAAGTGGTGAAACAAAATATCTTTAAGGAATGTTTTTTTTAGCTATAAATTGATCTCAATATGGTATAAATTGGTTGAGTAAAACTTAAGTAAATGTTATTAAATATACTTTATTTATACAAATATTAATGAGTGTTAATTGCAAAACGCGCACCAGGTAGTCGTACTCCTCCATTAAACCCACTAAAAATAGACACTAAACAAGCATTCAGAGGGATCCAACAAGTAGAGAGAGAGGGGGAGAGTGGAGCAAGGGAGAGCGGAGCGTTGGGACTTCTCTATCCGGATTAGAAATTGGAGCAGTGGGATGCACTGTAGACCTCCATGAATTCACCCGAAATACAGGCACTGCCCACGCCCATGCTCATGGGCTGGCAGATGCCCGGCACTTTGCTGGTTATCTCAATGGTGCACGCCCCGTGTCCATGTCCATGTGGATGCTTGTGCTGCTGCCCGGCGGGAGGCAGTTTGATAAAGGACGCCTTATTGTTGACACGGGGCTTCTGGACGGGCTCGTCGGCGAACTGCAGCCAGGGAGGCGGCAGTGAATGATGCACGCGGGTGGGCTCGACGTTGTCGTCCTGGTCCACATCTAGCGGCAGCTCGACGGCCTCCACTTCGACGTCATCATCGACCAACGGAAAGGGCGTGTAGTGCGTCTTGGCCTTACTGCTCGCCGGTTCGCTGGTGGCGACGCTCAGCAGCTGGGGCGCCAGCTCCAAGGCGTTGGCAATCAGAAGGGTTGTCGCACAGCAGAGCAGCAACTGCAATGAGGCCATGCTAGTGTAGCTGCTGGTTGTTGATGATCCTTTGCTCCTTTTTGCTGCTGCTGCTGCTCCTCAAAGCTGCGGGCCTTCTGCTGTTCCGGATGGGAATGATGCTTGCCAGGCACAGGGCCTCGGCTTTTATAGGCTGCCACAATGCTGCAATTGCGCCTGGTCAGCTTAGCTGGACAGTCAATGAACCCCGGGCGCCATGTCCACAATTGAAATTGAAAAGAAGCCACTCAAGTAAAAGACACACACACACTCGTACTAAAGTCGTAATTAATTATAGTTGAGTATACGTCCTGTAACCCGGCAGGCAACTACAATGGGAAGGACAATGACAAGAACTTGGACTCCTTGTGGTGCTTCTCGGAGAAGGCAGCAGCCGAGATGATGAGAAAATTGGAAATCTATTCCGATGCCTTTTCCCATTCGCAGCGTTCTATTTGATTTCATTTGTGCCGCTGCTGTTGCCGCTGCCGCTGCCACTGCCATTGCCGCCTTCCTTTTGTATTTCCGGCAATTATTTTCGACGATGTGCCAATATCGCAAACGACAGCAGCCGGCGGCAGGAGACGCGCTAACGACTTCATAAGCAGTGCCAGCCATCTGATTTCCATTTGGTTTCAATTCGAATGTACATATATAACCTAAAAATTGTGCTGCTCAGGCTGGGGCGGAAGTGATGCTGACGCCATTTTTAAAAATGGCGCACACGTGTGCGACGTGTTTATGGCAGCTTTCCGTTCCAAATGACATGACAGCCAGCCTAACAAGCCTAGTCAATGTCAATAAACAGACAGGCGAGCTGCCATAGGGAATATTCTTATGCAAACAGGGCTGGGCACGAAGTCTCGGCATTCAAATTACTATGAAAAGGTAAGCTTTTTGCACAAACATGAGAATTCACAAGTCACAATTCTGGCGAAATGCAAGCAAAGCAGCTTATTAACTTGTGTTTGGCGGTTGTAAAAGTTTATAAGCTGGGGTTTTAGTGTTTATAGTTGAAATGAATCACTATACTTTGAACCATAATAAAAATAAGAATAATAATAATAATTTTTTTTATTATTATGATGATTCTTGTTATTATTATTATTATTATTATTGTTATTATTATTATTATTATTATTATTATTATTTTTATTATTATTTTTATTATTATTATTATTATTATTATTATTATTGTTATTATAATTATTATGATTCATAGTTCACGGTTTCATTTCACTGTCCCCCTGAATAAATTCAGAGAAATGTTTAAGTATTATATATTTGCATACTCTTAGGGTTTTATTTATTTAAATTGTGAAATAGTATAGTTGGAGGCTATGAGTAAACTATGCTTAGATAAAATAGCGAACTACTTCAGTTTTTGCATATTTAAAATTAACATAAAAAAGCGTGGCTGATGTCAGTCAGCATTTAATTCATCCCTGGTCGGTAAGAAAGCAAGTAAAATCATTTCTGTCGAACTCTCACGACTTTTCAGTACTCTCTCCAACATTTACTAGATATTGTATATTTGTTTTATTTTGCTACAAGAAATTACAATTATCCAATAAGGATTCTTCCGATGATTTTAGCTTTAAGACACTGGGAACTATAGATTTATATGATCTGCTGGGTTGGACGATATATATTAGCTGGGTTCTCGCGGCCTAGCGCGATCCAAGCTTTTGATTCAAGTTTTAGACATAAGATTTCCACCCATTTTCCGATCTACACTTGCTGTTCGAATATCCCAATATCTCGTCACAGCTTCCATCTTCATCAAATAAGTTAACTCAAGTAGGAATTTCAGCTTCCTAATCAGTTTTCAATCAGTCATTTGGTGGGAGTAATACCTTGTCGATAGACGGGCTATATCAAATGAATAGGGAATACGCTCTATATTCACTTTCGTTTCCATGCAGATGGTGGTAGGAGATAAAGAGCTGTCAATATGTTGACTGTATATGTTCTCCTTAACACGGTTAATTCAATTTGCTGATTCGTCGAAATTTTGGAGACTGCGTAGCTAAAGGACACACGTAAAAAGAATTTTAATGCTCTGATTTCGGTATTGGGTATACTGCAGGGTGCGTTGGCAATTCAATTTGATTAGAGCACTTGAACATAATGGATGGCATCGTGTTGACTGCTGCCCCAATGAGAGTTGGCCGTGGTCGTTAAGCAGCTTAACCCTACTGTGGTTCACCTTCATTTCCTGGCGCCAGACGAACTAATTAAACGCCTTTGCCTCTGACTTGGCCTTCGTCGGTGCCCAACTAATTAGAGCAGCTGTCACAGGCGGAGCAAAGCGTTCGGCGCACAAATAATTCAATTAAACTGCTCACGAACAGCAGCCAGAAATGAGCAAGAACAACAGCAAAGGATGCCAGGACAAGACAGCGGCAGGAGGAGAGTGAACGTTTTGGCAACGCGAAAAACCGCATATACAAACCGCAAACCAAGGCCTAAGTCCTGGAAATACCAGAGTACCCAAATGCCAACGCCAAGATCTAATATGTCACAGAACTAAGTATGCTTGTCGGGAAGAATCCTAAAGGGGTTTCGCTAAAATTCTGTGAATAATCTTGTGTGGAGCACAATAATAAGGTTACACATCTGCAATTAGGCGAGGGACTTAAGTCCTCAACAGTATTAGAGCAGATCCTCGATTCCCATATATCCAATCATTATAAATACTCCTCATTGTAAATACATACCACAACATTGCAACTAATACGTCACTTTGTAAAGTGCAATGATAAATGAAATTATAAATTTTATTGATAATTTGAAGTTATTTTTAGCAGAGTTACTTTTGGGATGTATTTACCTACGTGACAGTCCCCATATGGCATCGGTTGAATTAGCACGATGATATATAAAGAACGTGGTCGTTGCCTGATTCCATGAGTGCAAGAACGCATTGACAAGAATAAGTTGTTTTTATTCCGTAAAACTTTGCTAACATGGGTCGCTGCACGTTCCTGATCGCCACCCCTTGCTTGGTGTTGCTCCAGGCGCCCATTGGAGACGCCGAATGCTGCGTTGACGAAAAATCGTTAAGTACAGTGTGGCGCATGGAACATGCGTTGTCACTGGCGGAGTAAGAGACCCAAAAGGCGATTGCCTCAATTAGGGGCACGCATTGTGGCGTTAGATCCAGCAACGCTTTCAGCTGCAAGTATGGAAAAATCGAGAAAAACGTCTTTTTGCGGCCTTAAACTAGCATTCAAAGATCTTTGTTCATATTAATTTGAGGCTTGTTTCGCATTTTTTGGAAAATCCATCCCTCCTTGTAGGAAATGGTATTCAAATATTTGGTGGGTGACGTTTCGCTCTCAAATTCATTTCCGGATCTACATAAAACATCATTTAAGAACTGTTTCACATTTTTCGCAAGGATTTTTTTGGTGAAGTTTGAATTGTTTTCTGAATTGCTTCAAACTTAATTTCATAGCTCTACATAAAAATTTAATGAATATGTGTTTCAGCTATTTGGGTAATTCCACCCGCAACAGTGGTAAATTGGCGTAAATCATTTGTATGAAAGTTTTTGTTTGTTTTCCGTTCGATCAGTTACAAAATCATTTTCAAAGCTTTTTGAGAAGATTTATTTTATACGTGGCACGGGCAAGGCCGGGTTATATCCGCTAGTTCATAAATATATTACAAGAATATATGTATATGCATAAAATAGTCTAAATCCTGCTACAACGTGTATTCGTGCGTGCGTATATGAATGAATGTATACAGCCCGTTTGCTTATCAGACCCCCGTGCCAGTTTAATGGGCATAAGATCCCAATTTACTGGAGCTCTTATCCTCAACGCCTGTGTTAACTGCGAAAAGAAATTGAGAAATGGCGCTTGAGGAAAATGGCAACGCTTAAAATACAACTGCAAACAACAGCTTGGCTGTGAGCTGTTGCAGTCGAGGGCTGTTGGGCTGGGCTTGGGTTTCTGGGAGGGAGCTGTTGGCTCAATTAAAGCTTTCACGCGCCAAAATGTTAGGGCACGGTCAACTTTTTGGCGTCGGCAACGTTTTAATTTGCATTAAAACGCGAAAGGGAAACCTGCCGGGACAACTATTAAACTAAACTTACGGAACCTTGGTCATAAGTTTTTCGGGTTCACGTTTCGTGAGCTTGCATACAAATGGGCCAAGCAGTTTTTTTTTCCCCCCCCGGACAGCCGAACAGCTTGGCCGGCATTAAGACTTTAATAACTTTGGCCGCAAATCAAAGTCGCCTACAGCGAATTGGCAAAAATCGGAGGGCCAACAAGTTGCCGCATTGCGTGTCGGCCATTTTTTATGGCTGCGCCATTTTGTCAAATGGCAGGCAATAAAAAATGGCCAAGAAAAAACGCCTCAACAAATGTCAAACAGGCATCAGCTTAGCCGGTTTGGTGGGTTTAGGTGCTGCATCTGGACTTTAACTACTTTGCTCTTAACCCACTGATTGCAGGTGTTGTATTGATATATCCATTAATTATTATTTAAATAATTATTAATAACAAACATTAATCACACTTCAGACATTATTAAGCTGAAAATACAAATGCAAAGTTAATACTTGAAGAACTTTTCAATTTGATTTATTAAGATTATGTTTATTTTATATTTTGCCATTGAGCTTGGCTTTACGAATATTTATGTTCATTTTTGTACCCTTCACCCATTACAATGGGTTAGCAGGGTATATTAGTTCTGTATCTAACAGATAGATGGACCGATAAGAAATGAATGTTGTAAAATATAATGTTTTTACTGAGCACATGTTCGTTGGACGAACGATAATAATGAGTACGTTAGTTAATACTAAATACCAACTCAACAGTTGTTAGGCCTTTCGGATTTTTATTATCCGTGAAAGGATTGAAGAGATTGAGAGGAAGAACAATACTTTATCTGGCACTGTCTAGAATAACTTCTAGCTGCAAAAGAATTTGTCTCATCTTTAGCTGGCACGTCTGCTTGACCCGAGGGTAACTTTAGAAAAGAACTTGGCTAGGAATAGTTTAATAATCATTCTATTAAGCCGGAGGTGTGTGGCAGTTTCTTATTTGATCGCATAGATGAGGCCACT